AACTCTTAATCATTCTGCCTCCAACTTCCCAAGTGCTGGGGTTACAAGCATGCCTCACCATACCAAAGTCAGAGAGTAGTTCTAATTGGAGCAGGTATTATTGGTCCTTTCTAAAAAAGGAAATAATGTCTTAGTATTAAGAAAGAAAAGAGAGAAAAAGGATATTTAGTATTTCTTATATAGGACAGTATTTAAACCTATGGAATACAATCACATAGTAAACTTCTAGAGAATGTTAGGAACTATTTTCAATAGTTTTTCTTAATAAGGTCCTCAGAGTAGGGGCCCAATCTTATTTCTCTAGAACTAGCCCAGTACTCACTCAATAATTATTTGTTCAATTATTTCTTCAAGTATGACCTAATTACTTCAAACTCATATTTTAGAAATTATGTTTCAAGGGGACAAGTATCTCATTCAAGGGCCCACACTTCCTAGGGATTCCCATTTCGGTCTGCCTGGTTCTGGGGTTCCTTATTCCAGATTAGGGATACCAAGACTCCAGACCTCTTCCAGGGCAGGCAATAGTAACGTCTTCTTATACCTAAGAGAGCTTTTAGCAGAGGCTTCTGCAAACTGGAAGCGTAAAAATACATTACTATCAATACCAACAACTCATTGCTTGGGGTACTCTATCAAATTAGGATTACCTCCAGGTAACACCATTGCTCCTAAAAGAACATCTTCTTGTTTGTTTTTTTTTTTAGATTAAAAACTATCCATTAATAAAAAGTTAGAAAATATTTTTTGGTGGTATGGGGTTGGCAGGGAGGAGGTTTGAACTCAGGGCCTTGAGTTTGCTAGGTAGGGGCTCTACCACTTGAGCCACTGCCCTAGTCCTATTTTCTTTGATTATTTTTTGGGAGATAGGGTCTCATGTTTTGCCTAGGCCAGTCTGGAGCATGATCCACCTATTTATGATTCCCATGAAGCTGAGATAACAAGGAACGCACTGCCCAGCTATTGGTTAGATGGTAGTCTCACTACTTTTTGCCTGGGCTGGCCTCAAACCACAATTCTCCTGATCTCTGCCTCCTAATTAGCTGAGATTATAACCATGAGCCACCATACCTAAAAAAGTTAAAACTTTTAAATAAAATTCTTTGCGAAAAATGTTTCAAGAAATTAGGGTTTAGTAAAGGCAACAAAGTATATGTAGATGAGTAAATTCTATTAATATGACCAAGAACAATAAACTTAAGTACAATTAAATCCCTACATCATGTCTCTATTGTGGCTCAAAACCACTTTCAGAATGACGTATAGGCCCAGGTCTAACACTGGACCAGGGATTCTCAGTGTGACGTCATTCTGTCCACCAGAGGACATTTGGCAAAGTCAAGAGACACTTTTGCTTGTTACAACTGAGAGGAACTACTGGAAGCTAGTGGGTATAAGCCATGAATGTTGTTAAACATCTTACATTTCACGGGACATCCCCTTCCCCCAACAACAAAGAATTATGCAGCCCAAAATGTCAACAGTGCCAAGGTTGAGAAATCCTGTATAGGTTAAACATCGCTAATCTGAAAATTTGAAATCCAAAACTTTTTGAGTGCCATGCCAGCACCTGAAAACTTCTAATTTTAAATGTTTGAATTTTAGATTTCAGATTTTTGGATGGGATGCTCATCTGGTAAAGTGTAGGCAAATACCCCAAAATCCAAAAACACTGAAATCCTAAACAGTCTGACTAAATATTTCAGGTAAGGGATTTTCATCCTGTACTAGATTATTAAAAACAGAATGGGATTATAGTTAAATTAGCACCAAGACTGACAGTAGAAAAAGACAGGATCTTCCAGGTATACAAGATGAGTTCTGGAAACTTTGTAAATGTCCCAAGCACACCACTGTCATCCTTAGCTGATTCAAGAGAGGTACCTGATTCTGCAAACTGCAATGAAGACAGAGAGAGTTTAAGCTGATTGCACTTAATCCCCAGTGAATCTGAGTATGCTTCATGTTCAAGAAAAAACTCCAACTTTCCTGGATTCATGGAGGTCTTAGGTCTTCTGACAACTTCTACCAAGGTAAATAAAACTATGATATATTTATGATATATTTAGGCAGCTTTAACTATTTTACATTTCTAATTTGTGGTATCTAAGCTTCAATAAGAATTACTGCAGAAAGAAAACACCACCAAAGTGGGGGTTAGAAAAGAAAAAGGAGATAAGCAGAGATTCTTCAGGGTGTTCATCATCACTTCTCTCTCCTTCTGCTTTCCATATATTCTTACTCAGTAGACTATTCATTCAATGATGTCATCAAAGGAGACACAGTGCACATTGTAAAGGAAGAAGTAGAGGATTTGGTCGAGTTAATCTTCTTCATAATAATAAAGAATGAGAACACATTTTTTAAAGTAGACAGCAAAACATATATTTGTTAAGTTCTGTCAATATTAAGACATTATTTTCCTGTGACAAGGAGCTTTGGTATATTGGATGAGTCAAAGAGATATGCTTCAGAAGAATAAGCTGTCACTTCTACAAGCTCCATGAGAGGACACTGTGACCCAGAAAGGAAGCCACTGCTGGGGTGGCTTTACCCTGCAGCTCAGTAAATACATGGATCCACCCAACAGAAAGGCAGGCAGAAACATTCAGTTTGATGTAGCAAAGGAATCTGAAAATTATTAGCAATGTGAGAAAAGCATTGCAAGTCACTTCTCAGTTCTTCCTTAAGAACTTCTGTTAACCCTTGAGTTCTGAAAAATTTCAAAAACTGAGAACAAAAATGAACTTGGAGTTCTGGATGGGAATTAACTAAAGGACTGTTCCATCTGCCTTCTCTTAAGCAGAAGGTGACATGGAAATACAAAAGGGAATAATTATAACAAAGTTTCCTAAGATCTATACCAAAAATCTATCATCATTAACAGAAGGCCTCTAAGAAAATTTTTGGTTAATGATTAGTTCAAGAAAGAAACTATTTGCTAGTCAAAGACAAGCTATGAATGCTACAAATTCAGAATAATGGAATTTAACAAGTGACCTACTGTAAAAGGTTCTCAAAAAAACTACTTCTTATGTAAGAGGTCAAACAGAAGTACTATTTCAGCATTAAAAGTTTCTTCTGGGTTAAAGAATGACAGTAAAATAATTATATGTACGGGATCACTACAATTACTCTTCAAGAGTCTTTGGTACACATGGTCCTATTAAAGACAACCCAATTCTAAAAATTCCACAATTTTCTAATACACAAGCAATACATTTTTCCAGAGGAAAAAAGTGGTATATTCATAGATACTATTTCTGATAGAGGACTAAATTTCACACAACCCACACTGTGGCTGAAAGTCTCAGTGCTCACCTCTGAAACCAGGAACTGACCTAAATCTCTAAGATATTATCTAGTTGTGAAATTCTAGTTCTAGCAATTCAATTTTAACAGGGCTTCAAACATTTATATTGTTTCGTTGAAAAATTAAAAAATAGCAACAAAATACTCCCCCAGTATTCTCAGTTTAAAATTTCAAAGAGCTACTGAGGGGATTGCAGGCACAGGTGAAGGCGCATACTACATAAATGCAGAACAAACTATGCGTTATGCCCGTGTTGATGTGGTTTGTGTCTAACAGAGGGAAAAGCTATTAGCAAATTCGTTCATAAAAATACTCTTACTTTCACATTAAATTATAACATTAAAATGAAACAACTCTCCTTCTGAGAATTAGTATTCTATGTAATAATCATCCAGAGGATGTGCTCTTGCTTGAGATTTAATTTGTTTAGTAAGAATTCACATGGGAAGCTGGATGAGTGTGTTTTTTCTGGAAGATGTATTAGCCAGAAGACCTACCTGGATGACCATGTTTGATGACTTATCAGGAAAAAGAAAGATGTGTGGGTTTCATAGTAAAAATTAATTGTAAGTCCTTTGTAAAGACATTTTTATTCTACCACATATACAAAAGGAAAATGCTTATTTTTTTCTCAAAAGAGTATTTCATAATTTTTATATCTTCAGGGCTATACTGCTGAAGAATTTCTATGCCACTATCACTACTATCCTAGACTGTTATATAACCAATAAAATATTTTCTTGAATGACTTAAAAATACAAATCACTCTGTCTGCCACTCCTCTCCTTATTGCAACACTATTCATAATAGCCAAGATATGAAATCAGCTTAAGTGCCCAAGAAAAGATGAGTGGATAAAGAAAATGTGGCATATATGCACAATAGAATATTACTCAGCAATAAAGGAATAGAATCCTGTCATTTGCAGCAACAGGGAAAAGCCTGGAGGGTATTATGATAAGTGAAACACGTTAGGTACAGAAAGACAAATATCAAATATTCTCACTCATATGTAGAAGCTAAAAAGGCCGATCTCATGGAAGTGAAGAGTAACACTGTGGTTAACAAAGGCTAAGAAGAGTGGGGATAGATAGGGAGAGGTTTGTTACATAGGAGGAGTAGGTTCTAACTACAGTAGAGCTGTAGTTAACAAAAATTTGCTGTGCATTTGAAAATAGCTAAAGGAGAGGCGTTTGAATGTTCTCAACACAAGGAAATGATAAAGGTTTGAGGTGATGGATAAGCTAATTCCCTTGATTGTACGATCATCACACATTGTATTCATGTATGGAAATTGTGCCTTATTAATACATATAATTATTGTAATTAAAAATAAGTTAAAAATAAAAACAAATCTCTATAAAGGTGTTTAAACCCCTAATCTATCAGGGGGATCGTGTGATTTTTCACACTGCTGAATCATAGATGCTTACTTCATGAGGTCAAAGAATTGTTAGCTTTCTAATGTGAAAAGCACTTTAAAAATTACAATGAATCATGACCCTTTACTGCACTTAGATGGCTTTGGATCTGTTCCATGGTATTCTTTAATTCTCAACATAAGAGTACTTCCAATTACTGGAATTCAAGAATATCCAAATATTTCATTTAAAAAGCAACTGAGCAGGAAGTTATGAAAATGGTTCAGCAAACTGCACCTATGATGTCTTCCTATTTTCTGTTTCAAAGCTACCCACTAACAGAAAGCTACTCAATATGCTTCCAGAAATTCTGTAATATACAATTAAGAGAAAGCTCTTATTCAAGAATGAAATTAAGTCTTTTAAGATAAGTAATATCTGAATGGAATCTAATTGACCAGCAGATTTTTTTTGGCTCATACGTACCTCTCTCGGGGAACAGCAAACCAGTATTCTGGCTGCTTTCTTCGTTTACCATACTGCTGGACCATGGCTGCTGTGTGAGTGGCAAAAGACTTTCTCATTGGTTTTCCCACTTTGATGCACAGGAACATGGGTGGTGTCTTACTCTTTTCTTCTTTTGAAGGAAGTATATCTGAATCACATATGACAAAACTTTCCTCAATATTGGTAACATTAGTGACAGTAAAACTTTCAACTTAAAAAGAATAGTGTCTAATCCCTTCTTAGGGATGAAAAGTCAAAGCATATGGCAGAAATAACATTCAGCTACATTATATTAGAACTAATAAATTTTTCTTTGGTACAAAAGGGAAAAGCGTTAGTTGCATCCAATTGGTCTACATTCCGAGAGCTAATACAAACTGGAAATAAGCATAAGAGCCAACACAATCACAAATAATGTAGAACTGTGACAATTCACAAGTGTACATATTAACGAATAGCATTAAGGACCTAATCACACCATAATACAATTCACTTTAGAATTAAACTCTTTTCAAAACCACTTTAAACTTCTTTAGATTTATAAATGCAAGTTAAAAAAGGAAAATCACTTGAAAGAGTTAAGAAAAGTAAATGATATTTGAAATAGGAATCTATGTTATAGTTCAAGTTCCAAAACAGATACCATACATTTACAAATTTTTGCCCTAATTCTTAATGCAATCAGTAAGAATACACTCTACTGAGTAAAAACTGTCATCAAATAATTGTACTACTTGTTATTACATTGCAAGCTCTAGAAAGACAATCATATAACAGTATATAATGACTTTAAAGAAATATAGCTTACCTTCAATGGGCACCTGAATTCTCTTTAACAGCCATAACTGAATTTCAGATTTGTTATCCATTTGTGCACCTTGACAGCTGTTTTCCAGAGTAGATTCCAAGGAGGAGTCTGGAGACTCTTTATCTTTAGTCACATTTTCTTCTGTATTTACGTCCAGTTTCAGTGGAAAGGAGTCTTTCTCTTTTACCCAGGTTTTATCTGCTTCTTTATTGCCCTCAAGTGGGGGCTCACTTGTCTGGAGAAGAGAACTGCTAAGAGTAATGTCTATTCCCTCTGGTTCAGTACTTTTGCCGTCACTTAATTCTGCCTTCTGCAAATTTTCTGATAATTGTGACCCTTCTTTGTTCTTATTTAGGTAATATTCAATGAGTTTAACTTTATCTAGATCTTCATGTATGTTCAGTGTGTTTTCTACCTGTGTTTCTGGGGATCCAGACTGCTTGTCCATTTCTGGCATGATATCTTGCTTTTCACAGGTTTCTAAATCTAGGGCCCCCTTAAGTTCCTTATCACTCTCTGTTCCTAAAAAGTTAAGGGCCGACTGCACCTGCATTTCCACAGTGGAATTGATTATTTGTGTCTCCATCTTCTTTTGCTCCTGCGGATCAGTTAAAAGGCATTCCTTCGAGGTGTATCTTTTGTCTATTCTATTCTCAGGTTGAGCAGAAAGTTCTTCCAAGTCAACGAAGTCATCATCTTCCACTAAAAGGGAGTTTTCTTTGGCTATAGATTCAAATGCTGTGTGTGTCCCCAAAGGTTCCTGGCAGAGCTGACTCACTGTGGGAGATCCACTGTTTGTCTCCCTGGAGAGTTCCAGTTTCTTTGATTTCCCTGACACAGAGCTGCCTGAGAGCTTTGTATGTGTGTATCCTGTCAATTCCTCCAAAGAGCCTGTTGATTTTGAACCTGAAGTAATGGTTCTCTCTCCATTCTGTTGTCGTTTTTCCTTGTTGATGGATTTGAACTTACTGAATGGGTTAATATCATTTTCTGAAGCCAGGTCTTCCCACTCTCCAGGCCTGTACAGAGGACAAAGATCCTGAGGTAGGTCACTGTTGGGGCAAAAATGGTAGGTGCACATGGAATGTTAAAAATAAAATAAAAAACAAAATGGAGGAAAGGCAAAACAAAACAAACTCAACCAAAAGCCAAAACAAAATATACAACTTAAATGTATGCTGAAATGACTTAAGAATAAGGAAATGAAATCAAGAGGTTGATTTCAAAATGAAACATAAGTCAACTAAACGAGATGGCAAATGAACAAGCCGTGTGAGTTGCATATCCTACTAGAAGCACACAAATGGTTTTGGATGTTATATGTCAACATGGAGTTGTTACCCACAAGATTTTAAAATGTGAAATAATTTCTGATTTTTATGAAGGAAAGGACAGAGGAGATGAAGTATTTCAGTACCAATGATTAATGATTAGAACTCCTTAGATATTCAAAGCTCTTCCTTTTTATAAAATATTTAGAAGACAACTATATTAATTCTGAAAGGCTCACTGACTTCATAACTACTTATGTAACTATTCTGTATAAAGTAGCTGACTTTGAACATGCTTTTTCATTTCCTGACTTAGAACTGAATGCTTCCAATAAACAAACAAACAAAAAATCTTACTACTCCAAAGAAGATGTGAGAGAAGCTTCCAATGTTATTGTGTATGGATAGAAACAGCTTCGTTTTACAGGGGAAAATTTTATGGAAAAGAAAACGTTATCAAAAATCTCTTCCTTATGATACTGAGTTTAAATTTTTTAAACATTTTAAAATTTTAACATATCATTTTACTTTATGGCAAGCATAGCAACTGATTTTTAAGGTGATGCATAATGTCCCAGGATGCAGCCAATTATTCTTCCTTAATAACATAGATGCATTACAACCCAGATCTGAATCACACAAAAATATTAAGCATGTTCTCCCAAGTTCAAAATAGATGGTCAAAAAACATACGCTTTCTAAAGCATGACAGGAAATACCATGAGTAACCTACATTTCCATTTACCACTACTAGTACTAGCACCACTGCTGGGTTCAAACTCAGAGAAAAAAACCTTTTTAAAAAATAACATTTCCAATTTCAGAAATAGTTCTGTTTTCTAAAAGGTCAGGTTATTTTCAAGAAATACTTTACGACACCAACTGTGAAATAAATGATCATAACAATAAAGTCACCAAATACAGGCAGTTCTCATGCAACATGTAAGTCTGTCTTCCCAAGGTTATTTTATCAATCGATTGAAATGTTCATGCTTTTCCCAATAGAAAATAAAAGACTATGCAATTGTTAGGCTCTGATAAAAGCTTTAAAAAGCTTTAGTTTATTATTCATTTCTATTCAATAAGCATTCATTGAGCCCCTAAGTCCTATATTCTAGCATACAACTGTGACCCAGTAATTGCTCTGCAGGAACTTGCATAAGCAAAATGTTCTGCTCAACACTAGCATCCCAGAAGATATTAAAGATGATTTGGTTCTAGAGTCAAAGCAAATAACTTAGTGCAATGCAGCATGATCTTAATAGTAGAACTCAAAATTTAATTTGGCATATTAAAAGCTGTAAGAAGTCCTGCAGCAAAGAAACCCAGCTGTTCACCTACTTGATTAATAAGCACAATTTTCCTCCATAATCACTCACTTTCCTCATCTCTTTCTTTCCTATGGAGCACAACCCCACAAAGAGCACATTCAACTGCATGCTAATTTACCTCCTCGATTCCTGTCTATCCCTCTCTTCTTGTTCTTCTACCTAATCCACACCTGCTGTCCCCTGTTTGGGACTAATTCAGCCATCTGCTTTTTCTGCATTGCAGCTGCCAAGCACAGCTGGGGCAAAGTACACTATGGTGTCAACTGGTTCAGTTGCTAAGTAGTGCTTTTCTAGACCTAGCCAGGCACCTAATGATGGACTGTAATCCCTTCAGTTGTTCTTTTCCGACTTTTTGTGGCAGCTGGACTTATAAAATGTCTCATACATAAAAATACAAAACTTGAAAGTGAGAATGGAGAGATTTTATACTCACTCTGTCTCTTTCTCAAAAACTTTTCATACTGCAGCTAATTTCTCCTTTAAATTAATATGTTCAACTTCCCGGTATCATTTACTTCATCATTTCTGCATCTCATTTTTCTATTTTTTATATTCATTGCACAAGTTTTCCCATTTTTCAAATTCATCCCTACACAGTTCCTTGCTTTTCCAAATGCCCTCACCTCTGCACATGCCCCCACTTTTAAATTCCACTGAATTGTCTCAACAGCTTCTTGTTTTTGGTAAAGAAAGAAATGGCTCTTACGATGGCAAAGCATCTTTGATCTTCATGTGGGAAATGTCATTGTAGAGAGCAATGGAAACAACCTCTTCCATGGGGCAGATGAGGCCATACTCCTCACACCCATTTTCAATAACCAGGGGATCAGACTTATGAGGGTCAAACATGATGTTGTTAGGAGTGACAATCATGACGCCTCCAACCACACCCTATAGAAGAAAGGGACAGGACAGAATTATTTTATCCAGAAAGGCTTTCTGCCACCACCACAGAAGCCATTAATTAACACATATTGCCTTTCTATTGACTTTGTGAGCACAGTGTCCTATGTGACAATCATATCCCTTTCACGAAAGCTGAAAAAACAAGCTGAAGAATGCAGGACCAGACCTGATGGCTTACACCTGTAATCCTAGCTACTCACTAGGTAAAGATCCAGAGGACTGAGGTTCAAGACCAACCCAGGCAAACAAGCTAGTAAGACCCCATTCTCAACAAATAAGCTGGGTGTGATGGCATGCCCCTGGGATCCCAGCTATGTGCAAGGCATAGGTGGGAGGATCACAGTCTGAGCAAAAGTTTGAGATTCTTTACCTGAGACATAACTAAAGCAGAAAAGGGCTGGGGGGTGTGGCTCAAGTGGCAGAGTGCCTGCCTAGCAAGTGCTGGGCCCTAAAATCAAAATTCTAGAATTACACCAAAAAAGAAAAAAGTAATACAAAGTTAGGTGCTAAGTAAACAGAGAAAACAGACTTGCGGCAATCATCCAAACATGATTTTAGCATGGATAAAACAGTACAACTGTGGTGTAATCCTGGCTCACACATATGTGTCAGAGATTCTCCATTTCTCTGTCTAAAAAACAAGAGGGACTAACCCACGTGTTTTCCTGACTGAGAATACAGTGCTTTCTGATCCATTCAGCAAATCTCCCTTTGAGTGTCTAACAAGTGCCTAGTACTGCGCAGTGCTGAGGGAGAAGAATCGTCCCAATATCCATCTCTAAAATGTTTACACAGCTCACATCCAGCAAAATTCAGCATTAATAGCCATATAACATTTTAACAGCCAGACCGAATATAGATGCACTATGAAAATTAAAAGGAAAAAGCAGCAGCTTGGTGGGGCTTTGGTGGCTCACACCTATAATTCTAGTTACTTGGGAGACTGAGATCAGGAGGATTGTGGTTTGAGGTCAGCTAGGACAAATAGTTCATGAGACCCCCATCTCTAAACTAACCAGAGCAAAATGAATTGAAGGTGTGACTCAAACTGTTAAGTACCTACTTTGTAAGCACAAACCTGAGTTTAAACCCCAGTCCCACCAAAAACCAAACCAAAATAAAAAAAGCAGTAGTTTAGTAGATCTTAAAAGTCTGAAGTTTGGCCAGATTACATTATAGACCTTATTGGCCAGCAGGGTATTATCTGCCAGACACAGCAGGATACAGATGAATCCTTATAGGGAAATAATCTGATATCTTTAGTGAGTCCAGTAATCACCTTTGTGAAATCTTTTTTCAGGGATTATTCATTCTTTGTAGCAAAAGTTACAAATATACATCAATAACATTTTTGTACCATTTGTAACCTGATACGAACTCTCCACTATGAGCACAGAATATTAACAAAGCCCTTTCTGCAGAAGCTCACTAAAAGTCAGATTTGTTTTTTGTAAACACCAACAACCAAAAAACTAAAAAAAAAAAATCACAGCTGACATTATTATGATTTTTTTTTTTTTTTTTTTGAGGGAAGAACTGGGGTTTGAACTCAGGGTCTTGAACTTGCTAGGCAGGCACTTTACCACTTGAACCACAACCCCAGCCCTTTTTGCTTTAGTTATTTTTTCCCTTCATTTTTATTAGGATATATTCATTGTACATGAGGGGAATTCATTGTGACAATTCTGAATAGGCTTATATTGTACATTGGTTAGATCGCCCCCACCATCTCTCCCCCAGGTCCCTTCCCCATCCCACTTAAAGCAACTGCAAGAGGTTTCACTGCTCTATTTGCATATGTATATGAAGTCCATCAATCGTATTCCATCACCTTAATCTCCTTCATTCACCCTACCCCCTCCCACAAGTAACCTCCTCACACACACACACACACTGTACTTATTTTACAGTCTTGTCTTTTGTTATTAGCTCCTAAGTCAATGTTCAAAGGGGTTTCTTGATGTATCCCTGCTGTGAGTATACTTTGGTCAGTTCAACCCTCTCCATTACCCCTTCCCTCCCACCTACTTTAGCTATTTTTCACATAGGGTGGCACATTTATTCCCAGGCTTGCCTGGACTTTGATTCTCCTATTTATGTTTCCCATATAGCTGGGATGACAGGCATGTGTCACTACACACAGCATTTTATTGGCTGAGATGGTGTTTCACAAACTTTTTCCCTGGGTTGGCCTCAAACCCCGATCATCCTGATCTCTACCTCCTGAGTGGCTAGAATTACAGGTATGTGTCATTGTGCCTGGCTGACATTATTTTTAACACTAGCATCACCAGCTGGCAAACACAAGTTGAAAACATAGTATTTTCTGGATTAGGTTATAGGCTTGTTAAGCAAATTCTCTCTTTAAATTGCTAGACTCTATTCGTTAAATTTTATTATTGTACCTGTTTTATTTATTTATTTTGTCAGTACTGGCATGGAACTTAGGGCTTCCACACACCTTAAGCAGGCACCCTGACTCTGGAAACACATCCACATCCCTATTGTGCCTACTTTATTGCAGAAAAATGGAAGCCAGGAAATTTAGATACTTTGCCTGTGGTCTCAAAACTAGTGAGCAGAAGAGTTAGAATTTAAACTCAGTGAGTCTGAGTGGAGCATTTGCGTGAAACAAATACTACGCTGTTCTTCCTAACAATTTACAGGTAAAGACAAGTGATAAATTGAAGGTTGCACGGTATCACATTTCTCGCAACAAGTAAAATGCCGGGCATCCCATGTAGAAAAACTAATGGATGTTTGCCAAACCTTAAACTGAAAGGATGAGTAAATATTTTAATGGAGCTTTATTCCCAGTAATTTGCAACCTTATTTAGCTTCCACAAAAAGGGAACAATTGGTATTGCCAAATACCTTTCCATCAGTGAAGTATCGACAATTCATTTTTAGAAACTTTACCACGCCTGGTTCATCTTCTTCAGAAGTAGATGATAACACTCTTTCGATGGGTTTTAAGGCCTTTCTTGCTAAGTCAGCATCCTTATAAAAGCAAAAATTTCCAAACTCAAATAAGAACACTTTTTAAAAACAAATTATATGTATAAATAATATGTATAGCTCTCCTGTAAGTATACTACCTCTATTTAACTTGAACAGAAAAAAAAATAGGCAAGTGCCCTTTGTTCTTTAAAAACATCACAAATATAACAGTAAGTATCCAAATTAAACTAAGATTTTTAAAAACTTTTAAAAACATATATGTGAACCCATAACACTGGTTCATTAAATGTCTTAGAAAATAACCTAAATGAAAGAATTCATGTTAGATTCCAGACTCAAATTCTCTCAAAAAAGGGAACACATACAATCTATTCACCTCATTGGGAATTTAACTTCACACTTTTTTATATAAGGCATGCATTTTTACTTTTAAGACCTTATATGCATATACATGTGTCTTGGAGAGGATGCCTTCTCTCAACAAATGACAAGTTGCTTAACTCCACTCCTTTGTGGGGAAATTCAAACATAATCTTTTAAAAAACAACATATCGAATTCTACATCTCATAAAACCTCTTTCTGATTAAAATGAGTTTCAGTGCGTGACGTTCATGACATACATACAGGCAGTTTGTCATATTCTGCATCTGATGATGAAGGAGAAACAGTAGCACCAGGACTGGATGATGATAGCCTTAAGGTACTGGACGGAAAGTTGGCATCTGGCACAAAAAGGACCTGGGAATGGGAAAGAGGGACTATGTGAATATCCAAATCAGCCAAGTCCCTAGCTGGTATTTAGAGAAGCCACCCCGGGCACATCACCTGTGCTCAGTGCATGAAGACCTGGCTGGTTTCCAAGGAACTGTTAAGCAACTTGAAGTCTTAAGACTAATCAGGAATATGGATGTGTTCAGTGCAGAAGGTATGAGTACAACTGTAGACACCGCAGGAGAGCAAAACAGGGGAGAGAAAGGTGAGTGAGTATTCTGGACAGGTTCGAGTAAAGCTTTCAACAAATAGGAACTGGATAAGAGGAAGGGAAGAGCCTTTCATGGAATGGAACTAATACATGTTGAGTAGCCCTTACCTGAAATGCTTGGGGCCACAAATATTTCAGGCTCAGAACTTTTCAGATTTTGGAATATCTGCATAGACTTTACCCATTTAGCACCACTAACCTGAAAATCCAAAATCCAAAATGCTTCAGAGATGTGTTCTGTGTGTGGCGGGGGGAGGGTGTTGAACTCAGGGCCTTATGCTTACTAGGTAGGCCAGCCCTCCCAAAATGCTTCAAATGCACTCAAACTGCTTCAGACTTTGGAGCATTTCAAATTTTGTATTTTTGGGTTATAGATGAACCCAAGTGAATAGAGCACAGAAAAATATGGCATGACTGTAAATATGATACCTGTGTCAGATAGAAATGGAACAAATCCAGTGTTACTACCTTCAAGCAGACCTTAAGCACCAAATTAGTAAGATCTTTATGTTATGAACTATATAAGTAACATAAATATAATAATCCTTTCTTTTCCATTTGTATCTGGGCTATATAAAAATAAAAATGTCTCAAAAAGTTGTATAAAATATGCTTCCAGTCATATTTCTATTTTAACTTATTTACTTAAATCTCAGTTTAATCCAGAAAAAAACTGAGGCAATGAAAACACTCAAAGATAAAGGTAGGCCCATACCACTAAAAATAAATAAAGAAAAGAAAAGATAAAGGTGGAAAAAATCAAAGTCAAGGGGATGTAAGATGAGGACTGTTTACTGCTGAAGTATGTGCTTTAAAATTACTAGCACCCATTGAGAGGTAGGCGATACAAGCGTGGTGGTACACATCTGTAATCCCAGCATTTGGGAGACTAAGGCAGGAGAATCTCAAATCTGAGGATTAGTTAGTGAGACCCAGTCTCAAAACAAAACAAAACAAAGAACCCAAACAGCTGGGAGATTCCATATGCAAAGAGATAGCCATCAGTAGCTGGCAGAATTCAATTTGCATAAACTAAAAACAAACCAGTTTCTCAGAAACAAGTACTCTCCCACAGAGTCTCACAAAATGAGTATCCTAGACTGAACTATTTATCCTGGAAGATACACTAACAGTAAATACAACAACCAGTTTTGGAGGACTGTTCTTTATAATATCTTCAATATGAGTCAATGACAAATGCCAAAGTTTAGAGTTCTGTGAAAGCTGTTCACAAAAGACTAAATAATACGGTCGTATTATACAGCTCTCTTATTTATCTAACATAGCAAAATTAGAGGAATAAATAGTTGGTATTTTTCCCAAGCAGTTCTCTATTTTTTTTGCACTAGAACTCTTAAAAAGTATCGGGCAGCACAGATTGATACTCTATTGGCTAATGCATCTAAATGCTCAAGCAAACAATTAGCTACCCTAGAGACAGAAGTGGCATCTGCAAGCTGGAAATCTCAAACCACACCACCTGCTTCCTCAATGTGGAAGTGGGTAGTGGTGAGGATTTTCCTGTTGTCTCCACAGAATAATCCTATGGCAGATGAGGATTTGAGGTCCTAAAGTTCTTACCATAAAGGTATTAAAAAAAAAATTAAGCATGTGTAGCCAAGCTCTCTCATGAATTTAAAAACATGTTAAAGTACATATCCCCAAGGTAGCTCTGAGTGTGCTCAAGATAAACTACTTACAAAAGTACATTCTTTATACATGACCTCAAATTGACTCGGTATCAAAACAGTCAAACTAGAAACTTCTGAAAAAGATTTTATGTCTTAGTTGTTTGATCTTGTTTTGTGTCTTCTAAAGCAACAAAAAGCCTCAAGTAGGATTTTAGTTCAATCAGTTTCCGGGTAACTTCTGAAAACATCACTCACAAAGGATCCAGCCAGACCAGCTCTTTCCTACCTCAAGGAGATCATCAAATCAATCTCCACAGAGGATGAGTCTCAAATTTTTTGGAACCAGAGCAAACTAAACTGGTTCTGATTAATCAAATCTACTGAGGTGAGATACCTATACCTTCAAGGCATCAAAACGGAGTATTTACAAATCCTTGAAAGCAAAAGGCTATCTACAGCATTAAGGTCTTAAACGTCCTCTATCTATTTCACTCCTCTTAATTCTTCAACTTTGCCAGAAAAAATTACAAGTTGATATGAGTTTGAGACAACTAATGTCATATAACTGCTTAATTCTAGAAATTCTTAGCTTTGTTTAGTTCTTTATTGTGGCTAGACACCACAATAGGGACTAGAAAGGATATCAGAGATAGTCTGTGCCCCAACCCCTAATTTCAGAAATGAGGAAGCTAAGATCCAAAAAAGGAAGTGAATTGCCCAGGTCAAATTAACCTAGAAGGTAACACACATCACAGGAAATTAATGTGAGTCAACTCCCTGTATAGCTATCCTTATCTCAACTAGAAAAAACCCTTATTCCTTCCTATTATTGCTTATACTCTCTCTTCAACAAAATTAGAGATAAGGGCAAAATAGTTTCTGCCAGGTAGTGAGGGGGTGGGGGGAAGAAAGAGGGAGGGGTGGGTGGTAAGGGAGGGGGTGGGGGCAGGGGGGAGAAATGACCCAAGCATTGTATGCACATATGAATAATAAAAAAATGTTTAAAAATTGTGAACAGAGGGCCAAATGGACACAATGTTTTAGAGTTTCCATTTCTGGTATTCTTACCAATACAGCAGACATATTTAAACGGTCCTTGACTTCTATTGGCTATTGGACCATAGTTTAGCACCAATAAACTATTTTACGAACACAGTATTAGGAATCACCCTGAAGTACTTTGCTAAGTTCTAGAGACTGAAATCTTTAGCTTTGGCTCTCTGTTATGGGCAAGCCATACCCAAAATTATAAAATAAGCCTAACGATTACACTTGTAATCGAAGAGATTACATTTGTATGTTTTCTAAGGATGAAAATTTATTAATTTCTGAAAATGTTCAGTGTAATTATTGGAAGTCTACTAATGTCTCTTTTTCACAAGAACATAAATACCATAAACATTAACTGGTCATTTTGTGGCCCTGCTGGCTTCACATACGATCCTTGAAAGAAATGCAAAGAACGTATCATCACTGCCTGAATGAAACTGTGCTTAAACTAACATTATCTAACTTGAAAGAATCACATGTCATGCCACTGTAATGTAGAGGCAAGAAGATGCTCAAGTAAACCAACAATGGAACCCAAACGTACACAAGGCAGCCAAGCACTTCTGTGGATGAGACTGGACACTTAACTTCAGCTAAGTGCTTCCAATGACTAAGTCATTTAAATTTATTGGATGAATGAATTTTAGAGTTAAAATACCAGAATATCCTATCACATAGAATGTACTAAAAATTTATGGGATTAACCTAAATCGGTAAGATTATACGTTTGTCAGTTTCATTCAGTTAACAAATATGATACTAAATACCTAAACAAATTGGTTTTGTTTTGTTTTGTTTTTGATGGTTCTTATAAATGTCTTTGTCATTGGCTAGCTTGATCATTCTTGTTTTGGTATTAAAACTGAGACAAAAACGACAATTTTTTTCCTAATTTAAAATAAAATGATGGTCAAATGTACCTCAGAAGAATGGACTAGTTGAAACCTGCAGCTCTCAACCAAACATTCTAAGGATGTCTGTATTACATTCTACAGGAAAATAAGTCATTTTAGACCTTCTGTTGATACCCCAGGAAACACCTACTACATAAATTAATGACAGTGATAATAAATTGTGTCAATCATTTGCAAAGTATTAATCTCAACAATTCATAAGAATGTTTTCAGAATTCTTGGATGTAAAAGATGAAAGATTAAAACAATGCACAATATCATTGATGATAATCCTGTGATACTAATAATAAAGCATTAAATATAGCAACAAAAGATAAATGCAAAATTTCTAAAGTGATATTCAACCAAAAAAGTAATTACCTGGCCTGGAACGATAGTATGTGTGAAAAGTTTATTCAGTTCCACTAATTTATTGGGAGTGATGTTAAACTTCAGTGCTATGGAGTTTAGGGTGTCCTGGCTTCCAGCCTAAAATAATCAAAAGGACAAGATTCAGTAAATACTGTGTATACATGTATGTAAATGGAAAATGATACCTGTTGAAACTGTTCCAGGAATGGGGAAAGGGGGTGAAAAAGGAGAATGGTAGAGGGGGTAAATTCAAGTATGATATATTTGATACATTGTAAGAACTTCTGTAAATGCCACAGTGCACCCCCACCCAGCACAACAATAAAAAAAAAAGATTTGTATATAAAGCAAAAAAAATTCCTTTTGACAGACAACATTAATCTACTCATGATATAAGTGAATAAAAAAGTAATAGTTATACCAAGAAAGAGTGAATATGTTCTCTATTCTTAATAAAACCCTATAAAAGCAGTCTTAAATGCAATTCATTTCTGTGTTCTCTCATCTTCAAATTTTACTGTTCACTAATAGACTTCTAATTTTTCCTTTGGAACAACTTAGCTGCAGAGTAGAGGTCCATACAGTCTAAGACAAAAATATGAGAAGAAAAGAAAAATATATGCACAGAGTACCTTACCCCCCATAAGGGAAGAGGGCTATGGTCTCTTTTGTAATTTTCTGTCCATTTGCTTGTCTCTTCACTGCATTATCAAGTCTGGACAGTGGCCTGTTAACAGCTAATTTCCCCAGTGCTCAGCACAGCAATTGACAAATGAATATTGTAGAAGGCAAGGAACTCTGAACAAAATTCAGATTAGCTACCAGGAATTATTCACAGTCATTAAGATAACAATTTGTCATGGTCAGCCAAATCATAAAACTTGAGACATGTTCTAGATGTATACTTTTAGTTCCTACTATAACAGAAGAGGGACAGGAATATAAGGCAGCGAGAAAATAAACTTTATAATAAAAAAAGCTCCACTCAGAAAGAAGTTGGCTGCCTGAAGTCATGTTAATCTCCCAGACAGACTCCTTGTCCAGTCATGGGATGGAGTTGTAGGAAGTCATTCTGAAGAATGTCATGAGAAGTTCCCATCTATGGCCCTTGGTCGAACCTGGAAGCTGGCCCTGTGAACAGAACTGCCCCAGCAGAACTGTCCTTAACTGTGTGGAGATTTGAGGAGGATGAGGACTGATGAGAAGGTAGAGATGTAGAAGTAGAATTAAAACCTCCACTGTCCTCATAGTTATGACCCACCAACTAGATGAACTGTCTCAGATAATTGAAGGTAACAGTTACAGATTATACTGAAACAGTGTCAAATCTTTTCATCATGTTAGGATAGATAGATATAGATATACACATACATATATACATATATATATACATATATATATGTGTGTGTACATATATATACATGCATGCAAACAACATATGTTCCTACTTCAATCCTGAGCACAATCATCTCTACTAAGAACAAACAAGTATTTTTTTGTAACCAGGATTGGTGGCACATACCTATAATTCTAGCACTTGGGTGGTGGGGCCATGCTGAGGTAGGAGGACTGTGAGTTCAAGATCAGCCTGAGATACCTAGTAAGACCTTGTCTCAAAAAAAGCAAAACATTTTTCCCAATACTGAATTTATGTAATACATTCAAACAAAGAGATTTTCAAGGTTTAGACTCAGTAAAAAAACTAAAGACTGAGAATCCAAACTATACAGCCAACTTGCTGGATTTGAGTTTACTGGCTGAGTGACTTTGGGCCATTTGTTTAACTTCTCTATGTCTATCTCTCCATCTATAAAACAGAGACGATTGTAACATCTGCCTTACAGTACTTACTTCATGTTAAGTGAGCAATAAATTTGTTTCATATTTTTATGAGCAAAGCTTGTAAAAATGTCCTGAGTATAGAAGGTTGAGGGACAGACAAAAGCTTTTTGAACTATCTGGAATTATCACATAAAGATAAGATGTACCTATAAAATTAGGTTGCAAGGCTGGGCAACAGTGGCTCATGCCTACATCCTAGTTATGTGGGAGACTGAAATTAGGAAGATTGAGGTTCAAGACCAGCCCAGGCAGATAGTTTAAGACCCCACCTCCAAAACAACCAGAGCAAAAATGGACGTGCAACTAAAGCAGCAGAGCACCTGCTTTGTAAGCACAAAGTCCTGAATTCAAATCCCAGTCCCACTCTCTCCCCCCAAAAAAAAACAGGTTGCAAAGACCCTAACAGGAATGCTTGGAACTAAACCAGAAGGCCTGAACATTCATTGATCAGGATTAATACAAGCAAGCTAGTAAGTACTAGCATGAAATTAGAAGAGTCTTCTTTTATTTCCAATGACAAGTACAAAAATAACTTGCACAGTTTCCAACTGTGCATTACTACTTTGATCACTTCTTTATATTTGTTAGTTTGTGGGTTGACTTTACTCTCACTTCACTGTTTAGCATATACAATGTGAAGAAACACTAATAAACAATACTTCCCAATTTTTAGAGGTGCTTGTGAATTAATACTGCTAGATACAGACAGGTCTGAAGGATTATAGCTTTAGAATTAATATTACTATCAATGATAAATAATTTAATTGAATACTTTCTTCTTTCTAGCTTTTAAAGTTAAAATGTATTTTAATCTAACACTTTTTTTTGGTGGTACTGAGAGTTGAACTCAGGGCCTTGCACTTGCTAAGTAGATGCTCTACCACTTGAGCCATTCCACCAGCCCTTTTCATGTTGGTTATTTTTGAGATATGGTCTTGCTTTTTATGCCTGGGCTGGTCTGACCTGTGATCCTCCTAATTGTGCTTCTTCCATAACTGGCATAATGGGATGACAGACATTCACCACTGTGGCCAGCCATTTGTTGAGATGGGGTCTCACAGACTTTTTTCACATCAATGGCCTTGAACTGTGCCCCTTCTGATCTCTGCTTCCCATAAAGCTATGGTTACAGGCTTGAGCCACCTCACCCAGCCTCTAAAACACTTTCTGAGTGCCTATTTTGAGGTAAGGTACTGTGCTTGGTATTATTAAGATCAACAAAATATTTAAGTAATATAAGATAGAATCACTGAAATCTTTTCTGAAAATGACTGGGTTTATTATCCCAGATGCTGACAGATGTCCACAGAACACTGATCACGAAATGCTTGTGTCAGGGCTTCTTCAATGTAACTCTCTGAAGGTTTGCAGATTTGCCATTCCAAAACAAATACCAGAGAGGGCTCAGGGCCTAGCATGGCATGTAAGTAGTGAGTAAAAGTATATATCAGGAAAACACATCAGGCAATGGCAACAGCAATTAATTTCTTCTTAGAAGTCAGAGAATTCTCGGCAGTGCTACTCCTACACCAATAACTGAGTATTCACTTCACACCAAGTCTAGATATAATAATAATATAATAAAATACGAATATATATAATTAAATAGAAAACAGATATAATAAGATATGGCTCCTAACTTCCAGGAGCTCATGGTGCAGTGAGACAATTGAGTATGCAATACCCAGTGTGCAGTTGTTGCAATGGACACACATGCACAGCATTATCCATCTACTGAGTCAGCAATCTGGAGGCCCACAATCTGCAAGTTGCCAAGAATACAATACAAAAAGGGATGTAGTCTCTCTCTATAGATACAAGAATTAAGGCATGAAATAAACATTAAAATAACAATCACACTAATGAATAATGTCAAAATGACATAAATTATGTAAATTAATGTGATTTTATGGGACAATAAAAAGATGGGATCTGGCCTAGAGTTGCTGAATGGTCACAGGAAGTAGGAATGAACATGGAGAATAAGGGAAGAAAATATCAAGTATATGGGTTTGGATTGTATAGACATTTGGATGATGGAGTTATTGCTTCTTTTTTTTTCATGTTTTCAAAAAATGTTTAATGATACAGAAAATTTCTTATTAGTGTTAAGTAAAACTATATACAGCAAATACCACTTTTGAAAAAAAAAATACACATGTACATATAAGAAAGACTGGAAATTCATAACATTGGCTCTGGTTGTTTTTGAGTGGTATATTTGAGAACAATTTAAATTTTCTTAGTTTATCAGGCAAACCAAACAGCATGCTGTGCCTATAGTTGCTATGTGATTGGGTTTTTTTTTTTTAAGTCACATTATTGTTGTACTGGGGTTATATTATAACATTTACAAAAGTTCTTGCAATATATCATAGTTGAATTCACCCCCAAGCCATTGCTTCTTGAAAAAAGAATCAAGCATAGAAAACAAAGTGAATATGCTGAGCAGGCAACTTTGGCTCTCAGAGAAAATGTCTGGGGTGGAGACCTAAAATCAGTAATCATTGTCATTGTAGAAGTAATTCAAGCCGTCGCCGTCAGTTTGTTTGGAAGTTCTAGCAGAGAAGCACAGCTACTAGCATACCCTTGACTGAAAAATGGTACTTCTCTCTTGAGAAAGGTCATCTTCTTCAACTTAGCTTCAGGTGGGATGCACATGGAGCAGTAAGGGAAGAAGATACCTGCGTAGCCAGCCAGATAAGCCACTATACTGGTGACCAATGGGGTGAGAGGGGCAGGGTCACCTCATATTGATCCTCTCAAGTCATCAGTTTACAAATAGGGAGGGAAAAGAAGCAACCTAGAACAAGTCTTGAGAAACTATATTATATAAGGGGTACACAGAAAGAAAGCAGCTAAGGGAGAAGATAGATCAGGGAGAAACATTACATTTATACATGAAGTATTAATGAATATCATATCACCCTGTTTATACTTACAGTGTATTCCATGGTACCATGCGGCTTCTGAACCACCATCTTCTTCTCTTTTTTATCATGTGTTTTGTTTTGATTGTCATCTGAAGAATAAATTGTACATAAGTGAATAATTTCATTTTCAGGAATTGAAGAGAGTAAATCTGCATTATAGGAGAATCCACTTTCAAACTAACAAAACAGACACTAATAGAAAACTGGACTAAGGTCACAAAGAGTTCACACTCAGAAAGCATGCTATTCATCAATGATCACCAGAATAAATGATTAATACTAACTATAATTAAATAATACAAACAAAACTCTAAGGTAATGCTTTACAGTTATTAAAATGATTAGTTTAAATGGTAATGTATAATGATAGTGAAGTTGCAGCAAAGCCATTATAATCACTATACAGATGATACATAGTGTAAATTAGGTTAGCTTTATTGAAAGTGATTTGGTAGCATAAGATGTCCATTCTCTGATTCAGTAATCCTTCTCTTAAGAATTTGTAAGGACAAATCCAAAAGAAGAAAGGTCAAGCATAGACTTATTGAAATATTCGCAATATAGAAACTTGGAAAAACCTGAATAGACAACATCATATTAAGTTTGAGCACAGTTTTTGCTGTCTTTATGTGTCAAAAACGGTAAGCTACTGGCAGCTGCATATGACTTAATTTAATTATACAGTTAATATATTTCATGATATTAATCCAGATATCAAAAACCATAAAGACATTGGAATGGATAAAAATTGACGAATATAAAATTGAATTAAGAAAAATGTTCCAACCTATATGTGAGGAGAAAAATCAAGTCAAAACTAAATTTTGAGTTGGCAGAGTAGCACAAGTGGTAGAGCACCTGCCTTGCAAGCTTGAGGCCCTGAGTTCAAACCCTAGTACCATCAGTTTATTAAACAAAAACTAAGTATCATTTTACTCTTATTAGTCTGGCAAAATCAGAGAGCTGGATATTCTAATGTTGGTAGACATGTGAATTGTTACTAGGAATGTAAACTGACTCAATCATTTGAGAAAATGAAACATATATGGCTTTTACATTGTGAGCAATTTACCTCACTTTAACTCACAGACACATATCCTTTATACATTTTACATGTACCACAATGACCTGCTGGAGGATGTTCATCACCAAGTTCTCTGTGACAATGGGGAGTTGGAGGTAACTAAAATGTGGTAGCCATACTCTGGGATTCCAGGCAGTAATTAGATACAACAAGCCGGATATAGACACAGAAACAAGTTTACACCAAAAGAAACAATTGTATGCACAAAACAATAGCATGAATGTATATCTAAAACAGGTAGACACAAATAAGCACAAAAATTTTCAAGGGCACATAGAAATAAACGTCTATCACACTGAACACGACAGAATACTATTGAATGGGGAGAGAGATTGGAGTGGGAAATGACCAGAGAGTACATACCATGGTCTAAGCAGTGAGATTAACTTAGCCCTCTACATCTGAGGTTCTACAAACACATATGCACACACAAAGAAATGATCTTCGATACCATTTCATCTGCGTAACAAATATAGGGGTACTGGGTGAGAACTGGCAGGTAACACAGAAATGGGAAAAGTTAATTCATATATGATTTGCCTATTTTTAAAGAATTTCCTTTGTATTAATTAAAAATTAAAATCACAAGGACAAATGAAGAAGCTGTTATGAGTCCTGATCTCATCATTTATATGCTCAAATCAGATCCATATACAGAACCAAAGACACCCTGAAATTTCATCTAGACTAAAAAATGACCTCCATACCTTCATGTGGCCACATCTAAATTACGTTAGGAATTTGGACTGATTATGATTTCTAGCTTCCTGATAAGAAGATTCTACACAGCTTATAAAAAACCCATCACAATATTTTATCTTATAATAAATGAAAAACTGGGTCACCTGGTTCTTAGTAGGTAAGCAATGAAATATTAACAAGCTTCCTTTTAAGAATCAGATAAAAATGAAATTGTTTACTTTTTCTGGTTTACATGGACGATGAATCCTCCAGGCTAACATTAGTTAGGCTAAATGTTGGTCATTCCTTTTAACATATTATGTACACTTTCTTTGTTGCACATAAATGACTGTCATCTTAGGTCCTCCTGTTTTCTGGAGAGACCACTGCTATCCTGTTTTGTAGGTGGTTCCTATTCTAGGAAGCTGTGATTCCTTCTTTCTATCCATAGCAGCTTCTGGTCCATCCCTTTCTATAAGCTACATGTAGCTTTCTTGGTCCCCCTAGGGAGCACTATTACAAGCTGCCAACTTGTGAGTACTTACTTATTGCCCAGCTACAAAGAAAACTATGTGCTGATTGAACCATTCAGGATAAACTTAACATATACAGATAAATTGCTACAAAAATTAACCAATTACCTTCTATTGGTACAGGTAGGTAGGCTAGAAAAATGTTAAGCATGTAATATTACTAAAAGGGAAAAACAAACAAACAAAAAAACCCAGCCTTCCCCCTGAGTACAAGATTTTGAGATCCTTGAGTTACAACCACAATGTACTCATCTTTGAATGTATTGAGCTGCAATATGATACACAGGCTATAAGGCTGAATGAGCTGCCCAATACACATCAACGAACCTGATGCACTTGATTGTGGGCAACACTTTCCACTGAAATAACATCACACTGAGCAACTCAACAGGCACCTATCAAAGCCTCAAACTCTGTTTTTCAGGTGGCTATGAAGAACAAAAAGTAAAACTGCAAATTCTAAGGATCAGATTTAATTGCCTTGATATCACAGTAACATAAGGGTTATTGCTTCCTAAACTTTTATTGCAGTGAACTGTAAAGATGACCAAATATGTCTCGTTGGATAAAATATACATCATACCAAGAAAAGTTGTGCAGCACATAGTCCACAAAGACCTGGAGATGTTTATGGCCATGGAGAGAACTAGGAAGAGGCATGAATGGTCACAGGAAAGGACCACTTTGCTATGCTTCAGTACAAGTCAGGTGGTCTTTGATGCCCTATCCACAAGGCCTGACACCTTCCTTCCCACCCATAAGAGAGCCAGGAGCAGCCAGAACACAAGGCTCTTGGCTCCGGCGTCTGAGAAGATGATAGATACAAGTTTACTCAAAGAAGACTTCTCTTTCCAGGTTCTGGGGGCCAGTCAGGGAGGAATCCTTTGTAGTAGGTGATATGCAGAGTCTTGGGTGAGGTTATGACTGCCAAGAGAGTAAGTTATGAGAGGAGGTCTAAGGTTTGAGGACAGAACCTAACAAGGGCTTAGATTTGGGGAGTGAAAAGAAGGGTGATTGATGTAAGAAAAGCAATTGGAGAGAAGGAAAAATGAATGTAATATCACATTGGTAATGGAAAAAGTTAAGGCAAGAGGTCTTGACACTGTCAAATACTGCACAGAGACCAAACAATGGAAACCTGGAAGCAGATAACTGAAGGTCACAGAGAGCTCCTGAAAGTGGAGGAAGCTCACAAGGGAAGATGTCAACACTATTAGTAGAGTAGGTAAGGTCATCTGCTAAAAGGCAATGGGTTGAAGACAGGATTAGGGGAGAAAGTAGTGAAATTTGGAAGAGTTAACTATGGCAAGGATACGGCTTGAATCATATGAACACTGAGAAGGAACGCAGCAATAAGGGTTCATCCAGGAGTGGAATCTAAACACCAGGTGACAGACACATAAAGAGGATATGCATACAGTGCTGAAATGGTCACCTGTAGAATATGTGATGCCCAAAACAGGACGGCTGGAACTATACCAGTACACGTGTGGGGAGGCAATGATGTACTTGAGGATTTAGGAGAATGATGAATTAGTTTTCTATTGCTGCTGCAGTAAATTACCAAAAGTTTACTGGTTAAAAAATTAGAACTAGCCATGTGTTGTAGCTCATGCCTATAATTCCAGCTACTTGCAAGACAGAGATCAGGAGGATTGCAGTTCAAGGCCAGCCCAGGCAAAAGTTACCAAAAACCAAATCCCACGTCAACCGATAAGCTAGGAGTGGTGGTGTGCACCTGTCATTCTAGCTAAGTTGGAGGCACAAATAGGTTGTGGCCCAGGCTGCCAGGGCAAAAAACTGTGCAAGACCCTGTCTTGAAAAATGGCTAAAGCATAAAGAGGTAGGGCATGGCTCAAGTGCCTGCCTAGCTAGTGAGAGGTCCTGAGTTCAAACTCTGATGTCTCCAAAAATAGAAATAAACACACTCTGTAATAGTTCCATAAGTTAGAAGTCTGACATGGTCTTGCTGCTTTCCTTCTGGAAGCCCTGGGGAAGGATAGGTTTGGCTTCCTTGTGTTTTCTAACTCTTCAAAGTGGGTATAAAATTTTTTCTTTTTGGATCAAGGTCCTTTCTTCCATCTGCAAAACCAGCAACACTAAGTAATTCTTACAGTGCTATTTGTCTAGGTCTCTCTTTTCTGCCTCTTTAACTTTTAAGGATCCTTGTGATGACCCTAGAGTCACCATGATAATCTAGGCAGATCTTAAGGTTAGCTGATTGGTTCCTTTAATTGCATCTATGGCTTTAATTTACCTTTGCCATGTAACCTAATAGAAGTTTGGGTTATTAGGACATGGACATTTTGGGGGGTGAGGGCATTATTCTGCCTATTACAGATGGAGAAAAGAGTTATGGGAAAAGACAAGAAAAGATGTCAAGATTGAAAGATGGGATTTTTGAAGATTCAAGTAGTGATGTCCTATGGAACCACTGTATATGCTAGAGAAAAAGACAGGGGAGGGTTATGGCATGTAGTAGTGGATAGAGATTCTGGCTCTGAAAAAAAAAATCATGAATGAATGAATCAATACTAACATCCTTCAAAACTGAGTATATAGCTGCTGTCATAAACTACTAGGACTGGTTGAAATCAGTGAACATTATTCACTATTTTACTTGAAAACTAATGAAAGAGGGCTGATGGAGTGGCTCAAGCAGTAGAGCCTGCCTAGTAAGCATGAAGCCCTGAGTTCAAACCCAAGTACCACGGAAAAAAAAAAATGAAAAAGACACTGTGAATTCCCTGGATCTTGATTCCACAATTTCTATATGCATAGTGGACAGACA